AATCTATCTATAAAAGTATTTATAAAGAAATTGAATTGATCAACGGATTTACACAGTACTCTATTGAATAAATCGAATATTTTAACAAATTAAAAGAACATGTCGGTGTAAAATTGGATTCATTGGAAAAAAACTATTTTTTTCATATGATCCTCCCTACAGTCGAGGGAATGAATCCGAGGTCAAATATCGTGATTTTATTTCGAATGAAATCCAATCCATATTTAATTCCGAATCACCAGATATATTGTCATTGAAACTATATTTTATCTTTGATAATCTAACTATTATTAAAAATATTCAAGAGAAATTCAAAGATCAACCACAATTATCAACAGTATTAGATTTACAAAAATTGACCATACCTTCAATTTTAAAACAATGTGTCGGTCGCACAATTCTTGGCTGACGAGCAAAATGGTATTATAATCAATTTCAATAAAATTTTAACAGAATTTGATGATTTATTCATTAAAATAACAAAGAAAGAGTTTGATTTTTCTTCTAAAGTTGAATTTGAAGAATTCATCGTTGAAAATTTATCTGTAGAATTGCAACAAAATGATCATTGAAGAAATCAATTGTTATATGAAATTATTCGAAGAACTAATCAAATACATAAACAAATTTATTCCAATGAAATTCTAATTCTATATGAAAAATCTAACAAACATGATCATTCAGTATACGTGTCTGATTGGGAAAATCATCGTGTGATGAAATGGGTGAAAGGTGCAAAACAAGGCATTGTCGTGGCTGGTAATCAAGGAGAAGGACATGGTCTTACACAGTTGTCATATCCTGAAGGAGTCGTTGTCGATCAATTGGGCACTGTCGTTGTGGCTGATCGAGGGAATCATCGAATAATGCGTTGGCCCAAAGGAGTCACAAAGGGAAGTGTCATTGTTGGTGGAAACGATGGCGGAGGACAATCGAACCGGCTCAATGGGCCCACCGGTTTGTCATTCGATCGACACGGCAATCTCTATGTCGTCGATAACGGAAATCGTCGAGTACAAAAATTCAATATCGATTCAAATTCTTATTCTT